TAACCCTCTTAACAACATATTTTCCCATTGATCCATCTGTACATTATAACCAAAATTCTTAGCGGGGTTCATCATACATTCTTTAACCTGTTCTTCCCGTTTCAAATTTCAACAAAAGTTTGTTCATTTTAGCAATTACATGTTTATCATCAATACACAGTTGTATTTCAAATTCTATCTTACTTTGCTCCATACTATAAGCCTTTTTATCCATTTTAAATCTTTCAGATAAGTGGGAAAACACTAGTTTTAATGCTTAGGATTGATATGTCTGTATGTATAGGTATACACACGTATACACCCAGGCTGGGTACACGTGTGTATACGTGCATATTGCAGGGTGTACCAAAAGTCAGGCACCATAGATAATTTATTATATAAATTATATTAAATGTTTGAATTGATTGCCATTTTCTTCTAAACGTTTCCTTATTCATTTGAGGCATGATCTTTGAACATGGCTACATACAGCAACGTTTTCTCTGATGTTCATATTCTCCTTCAGACCACCTTTTGGCCTGTGGGGCCTGACTTTTGGTACATCCTGCATAAAAAATTAAGTGTACAAGCGATGCTGAAGTATCAGAGCATCAGGTCCCTGAAGCTACAGGTGTCAAAGCCTCAGCCAATGGCCTCTCTAACAAGCCACAGCGACCTCGAAAGGAAGACATGTGCTTCACTGTGTCATCATGCCAACAACCCAATTTGTACCTGCATCATGACATCTGAGACAAGAATGTAAATCGAGTCATCTGCGTCACGTCATGATGCAGGTATTCAGGTTTCCCCTGAACCCCCATGGATGCCCAATTTAGGGAAGGCTAGTAGGCACAGTTACTCTTAAGTGGTGTTTCCCAACCTTAGCAACTTTAAGACATGTGGACTTCAACTCCTAGAATTCCCCAGCATGCGTCTTAAAGTTGCCAAGGTTGAGAAACATTCCTCACGAGTAAGTCTACTGACCTCTGTAAGTCTAGTTTCTATTATAAAGTGATGAACTGAATAACTGCAACATGTGCAAGTGAATAAACCCACTGAGGTTCACCCAGGTTGTTACTTCCGAGTCAACAGGATGATACCCTGAGAGGGACAGTCCAGTTTTAATGCCACAGGGCCATTTTTTAAATTCTGCGAGGCTGTAATGGAACGGCTGGCCAGAAGGTCTTTGAGGCTGGTAGCCTGGATTACCGTGCACCTCCAGGCCCATAAGGGCAAATGTTCAGGAGAGGCCGCTCTACTTACTAGGAGGCAAGAGCTGAGTTTGGTGTTTTCCTCAATGTTGCTTGTAGATCTCTATCCAGCCTCCCTTCTAGAAGCTCAAGGAAGTCATCCTGTCTCCAGTTTTGTCTTTGTAATGGCAAGGTTGGAGGGGCTGCGAGAGAGTGACCCAGTGAGGGTTGATAAAAGGGCCTGGGGTTTCTTTGGTGCTAATCCAGGATCCAGCCCGGTTACTGATACGCCCAGTTGGCCTGAATCTCAGCAAGGCAGATTTAGGGAGCAGCTAAGGAATGAACTCAGCCTGTCCATGGCACTAGTCCTCACGGAGCACTCTCTTTCTCTCTCCCCAGCGCTCCGCGAGGAGCCCCCAAGGGGCCAAGACTATGGCCAGCAGTCCTCTGCCGGCCCCCACCGACCTGCTCCTGGCCGCCCCGGCCAGCGCCTTCCCGCCGGAGCCGCTGAGCCAGGCGCCGCCCGCCGCCCGCGGGGCGCCCGCCGCCCCCGCGGGCGCCATGAAGCCTAACCAGGTGGGCCAAGTGATCCTGTACGGCATTCCCATCGTCTCGCTGGTGATCGATGGGCAGGAGCGCCTGTGCCTGGCTCAGATCTCCAACACGCTGCTCAAGAACTTCAGCTACAACGAGATCCACAACCGTCGGGTGGCGCTGGGCATCACCTGCGTGCAGTGCACGCCGGTGCAGCTGGAGATCCTGCGCCGGGCCGGCGCCATGCCCATCTCGTCGCGGCCGCTGCGGCATGATCACCAAGCGCGAGGCCGAGCGGCTCTGCAAGTCCTTCCTGGG